CCACTCCTGCACCTCTGGCCTGTGCCCCAGCTCTGTGTTTATAAATAAATAAATCTTAAAAAACAAAAACATGAACATTGAGAGATAGGCTAATAGCTACAAAAATTAAGATAATTTTATGAAGAATATTGCATCTAAATCTTATGATGATTCATCTATGAGTATTACAAAGTTATTTATTCAAAATTAAATGTATTCTAGAATTTACATCTCTCTGGCCTAGAAATGTGAAATGCTGACAAATAAAACACCTCCTCTGGTCTGCAGTTTTTTGAAAAGCAAAGCTAAACAGAGCCCAGGACACTCGGCCGCTGTGAGGGCCAGGGACTGTCGGGTAAAATCCATCAGTGCGGCTGCTGGTGGCATCTAAGCAGCAATAGTGCTGCGCGCACATCCTCAAGTCTGAATCAGCTTCTGGTTAGTTCCAGACGCTCTTCCGTAGAGGACATCAGGCAGGAAGCTTCCCAACCAAGTCACCTTTGACTATGAGTGACAGTAGGAGGCAGATAACGTGTATCAAAAAGGAGCCCTTCAAGACTAAGGCCCAGTAGAGACAAAAGGCTCTGTCCACAGTGCACGTCGGGCGGAAGTCACCACTTACTTGCAGATGGTACAAGCAAAGCAGTTGGGGTGGTAGGTCTTGCCCAAGGCAGTCACCACCTCACCCTCCACGAACTCCCCGCAGCCGTGGCAGCGTGTCCCGTACATCCGCTGGTAGTCTAGGGTGCACAAGTACTCCCCGTTCTTGATGAAGAAGCCTCCCTGCGCCAGGTCGCAGCCGCACACTGGAGAGACAAGAGCACATCTGGCTGTCATCTGGCTTCGGGAAGCCGCTCGCTCCTCCCTGAGCCGGCTGGGGGGAGCAGAGGGGTGGGCACAAAGAGCTGTTTATTGTCAGGCTCTGTGAGTTCCCTCCCGCCTCCCGCCCCTTCCTTCCCCTCCCTTTGGGAGCTATGCAATATCTCATGCAAGCAAAATCCACTGGCTAGGTCTCAATGGCTTCTGTGGTATGTCTGAGATTCAGAGATAAACTGGCTTTGATGGAGAGATACCCTGAGTTCACACTGCCACAAATATGAACAGAGCTACCCTGGCAGGGCTAATTAGGGAAGGTGCCAGCTGCCCATATAACTGCTGGGTTTGGGTCAAGACTGTAACTGAGCTACGAAACCAAAGCAGTCACTGAAATGTCCAATGTCTATTTTTTTCCCTCAGACTTTGGAAATTCTTTCTCATAGCTATGAAAAATTCAGATGTATCATTTTCTCTTTCTGTGGTCAATAAGCCGATTATTTACAGCTTATAAGGAGAAAAAAAAAAAAAGAATAGGCAAGACAGGAAAGGAAGGGAATATGCCCAAGAGAAAACTGTCCTTAGTGACTGCAAAAGCCGGCCCTCTGCTGAGTCTGGGCTCTGGTGCTTTTTCCCAAACTCTGCAGCTGTGGATGATGCGGATGGTGATGATGGTGCAAACAAGAGGCCCTGGGATGCCAGGGACCTGGGCGGGATCTTCATGTTCAGACAGACCAGAGCAGAGATAGTAACTTGCCCAAAAACAAAGCCTGAGGCAGAATGAAGACTCTCCACTGCCAGGCTGGAGAGCAACAGCCGAGACAGGAAATCTTCATTCTTTAACCTGTCGATGCCCAAGGCTGGGGAACTCCCATACAATTAAGGGCTTTAGCTAAGAATCCAGGATTCTTTTCCATTCCAGCAAGTAGCTGGAATTGGCACTTGGCTGGGTAGGGAGGAGGTTAAATTCCATCACTAAGTTGCTTTTCTAAGGAACTTCTAGAACACTTCCAGGGGGCCCGTGGTTCGTCCCCATGACTCATTACTGCTGCTAGATGAATTAGTGCTGAGCAGATTCTGATGGAGACAGCAAACTCCCCCACCGCAGCAGCCTTTACTATTAATAATCGCAAGCTACCAAGGATATCCAAACCACAACCTTTCCACTGTGGATTCGTCAGTATTTGTTTAGATAAACACTCCACAGCCACGACCTTCTTCTCTGCAATTACAATCAAGTAACTCAAGAGGATGGCCAGAGTCCATCATGCCTGCAATGACCCCCCCTATAAATACACTGTGATCGCATTACCTGGAAAACAGCTCATCCACCACCTGCTGCCTTCCCTAACCTGCCAGTGTTCCCACTGTTCTCACACCTGCTTCTTCTTCACTAAACGGGTCCTATGGGTCAGAGGGCACATGTATGGACCAGCCTTTCTTTGCCTGCAAATTCCTTCAACAGCAATAAAGATATTCCCAGGGTTCATGGAGGACCTTCGAGATTGACCTTTTATGGGATTCTAACTACAGCTCTTTTTTGCCACAAATAAGCCCTTTCTGGAGAAAAGTCCTCATTTTACTTTGATTTTTCTTCAAAAACCTTCAACCTTCAACTTCAATGTACTGGGAATACATTTTTTGAATTAACTTGAATCCAGCTTCCAACTTGCTGGGTTCACCTTCTTCCCTCCAGTTTCACTCCTTAGTGACATCAGCAGTGGTTGTGATGACTCAGTTACTCTTCCAAATTTAGGGATTCCTCAGAGTGACAGAATAATGCATATGGAGGGCTATGAATATTTCCTGTATTCTCTCCGGCAAGCAAACTCCCAGGGTAGGTTGAAAAGTTTCACAGATCCTTTATAGATAGATCTGCTAGCAGGGGGTAGAGTGATCTGCTAATACAGATTGCTGAGACACTTCAAAGCTGATCCTAAATGTTTTCGTAAGTCCTTATATTTGCTCATTCTCCTGATGCCTCTGGATAGCCTCCCTAGTTCACCCAACTTTGTGAAACTAGCATATGCTCTCCTTTATTAATGAAGTCTGGTTATTGTGAAGCTAACGTGACTTTGTAACTACTGTCGAGTGGACAGTAGTGCTGTTTAACCATACTTTGTCCCCTAAAGCAGTGGCCCTGCTGACTCGCCAAAAACAACCCATGTTTCTGGTGATTTATATACAAGAAAACTGGTATTTGAAAGCAATGACTATTGGCAGGGCCATTAAAGGCATACAGAAAAGCTACATCTAGAGGGGATGCCACAGGATTTTAAAAAAATCCCATTTTCTATATATAGTTAGATCTAACCAACAAACAAAGACAAACAGCACAGTCAGTGAGAGGAAAGTCCCTACTGCTAATGTTTAAAACATACTCACACGATCACATTTCCCAGAACAGACCCGTTTTGACATAATTTCGGGCTCTTCCCTCACCTGTTCTTCCTCCTCTGACAACTTCTCAGGCTCCTGGTCATTCCCTGGACGCCACCTCCTCCTTCTCTACTCTAAGGGCCGCCAGGGGCAGCTCTCCTGCACTCTCATGCGTCAACCATGGCTTTAGGCAAGTCAGCATCTCCACCAGGGGGGTCTTCTTTCCCCAAGCCTGGCACCCTTCTCTTTCAGCTCCCTGGACAGCGGCTCATCTCAAATCCACATTTTGAAAACGATCCTCCCCTCCTGGTCCCTCTGCCTTGCCCCACAGCTGCTGCTCTTTTTCTTTCATTCCTTCTTTCAGCAAAATGGAAGCACTAGTCGTTCTCTCACACCAAAAATGTCAACCAAATTTTCCATTAAGCCCAATGTATTTTCCCAGAAATATGTTTCTTTGACCCGGTCCCTCCTCTGCCTTCTGGGTGGTGTCACTTATGTCTTTTGGATGACAGCGATTTTATGATGACATTGTTATAATTAAACAAATGCCCAAATCAGAGCAATCCAAAGTCTTGGAAATGACTCATTTTGCACAAATGATGCAAGAGCTGAATCAGTGACTGTTTCTATCCATGGATCCATCCATGGATGTGTCCCCCAGAGGCCTGTCCATGATGTATCATTGAGGGACAAGAACTTAAGTCACAGAGTAAAGAATTTTAGTAATTCCATTTCACAAGTTTACTAAAGTCTTTGTGAACAAGGAAAAGTGAGTTAATACAAATAAGGACCACTAAATGGAATAACTCAGTAGGCTGAAGAATGACTGACTTAGCTTCACATTCCTATTTTCAGTTTATGTAGGAAATTATCAAATTGTGGTGAACGCATAGTCACATAAAGTTTACCACGTTAGCCACTTTTAACCTTGACAGCATTGATCACATTCACATTGTTATGCAGTCATCACCTTGTCCATCCATGGAAAAGTCTAGGTCTTGCAAAATGGAAACTGGGCCCAACAAACAGTTCCCTGGCCTCCCCCGCTGTCAACCACTGGCAATGACCATTCTTCTGTGTCTGTGCATTTGACCTGTCCACGTTCCTCATACAAATGGAAGCTTACTTAAAATTTTAGGAAAATGATGGGGTAAAGGGGAGAAGCCTGTTCTCCCTGTTTCCAGAGAGCATAAACAGTACACAGGTCACTCTACCACCAGGGTGCTGAGCTAATGACAAGCTCTTTTTGAGTGGTAGAAGGTACAGGCTGAAAGGAATGGTACCGTGTAGATTCTTATGCATAGAGATACATATATTTCCGTCCAGTTTTACTGTCCTGCTAGACTTCTAATCAGTTTTATATCTAACCAGACATTGTGACATTAATCCAGAAGGATGCCGTGGTCACCCATTCCTTCAGTTCCCCACTGAATCAGTTCCACACACAACTGGCTCCCTCATTAAAGAGTTGAGTACATCTTTGATAAGTGTTCATTCTATATTTGTATGAGAGACATCTATTTAACTGTGAAAATCACACTTGGACTAAAGGGTTACACTGCTTAACAAGAAAGTATCTATAAACATTTAAAAATGTTTTAAAAAGCTTTGGTGTGTTTTATATTAACAGCCTAGCAAACACTTGTAACTGAGGCACAAAGGTGAACTTTCACCTTCAATAACTACAAAAATCTCAATTAGTAAGGTCATACTTCGGTAGATTATATTCAGATTTTTAACTTGGGTGTTCCACTTGTCTTTGTTTTAGTTGGAAGTAACATGGGGAAAAGCACAGATTCCTTTCATTGATGGAGAGAGAGGGAGGGAGAGAAGAGCAGAGAAAGAAAGGGGGAGAGAGGAAGGGGAGGAAGGAGGAGGCAGGGAGGTATCCCAGCGAATGCCTTCTATTGCTTTCTTTGCAATGATCAATATCTAAAACACACCCCAGAGTCAAGGTCTCACTGAACCTTGGCTGCTTTGCAACATCATCACTAAAGCACAGCCACCAGCAGCCTTCATGTCCTTGCATTCATTTTCTCCAAACCACTGCGACCTGTTAACCAGGCAAGGAGGACTATGTAACAGCCAAGCAATTTTATATAAAAGTTACAAAATTAGCAACAGGCACATTTTAAAAATCTTAAAAAAGAAACTGACAGGAGCGACCTGTGTTGTAAAAATACCAGGGAACAGGAGGAGAACAAAGTATGGTGTCAAGAGGGGGTGAAAGAGGAGCCGAGCTTTACTGGTGTGAGCCGTGTCGTTGTAGCAACTGTTTCTCCAACCTTCTAAAAACAGCAGCTACATTTTATGTTGCAACTAATTCACTGCAGGGACATTCCACCTGCTTGTCAACTCATTCACTCCGCCAACATTTTAGGGGAACAGGGAACACTTATAACTCTGCCCAAAGGTGGGCTTGGGGGTGAAATGAAAGACTTATTTTCTTCATCTTTATCAGTACAGTGACTATCTCTGCCCGGCTGATACTTTCATTTGCGTTTCAATCAATTCACACTAGCAACTGACAGATGTTAAATATAAACACGGTCAGTGTTTACAATTTTGTTTTGAGCAACACAAGATTTTTTTTTAAGTTTTCAATTTTTTTATT